TTTGTAGTTAGAAGGACCACCAAGTTGCTTCTGTTCTTAGAGTTCTGTGACCCAGAGACTCTCTACCTATTGGTAAGGAATATGTAAGTGCCCCTTCCCTTTTCCTTATCCTTTGGGGTTTCCTTGCCCTCTTCCCTTTCTGGAGATCCATTACACAGCTACCCCCTGGAAGATCTCCAGTTGAGGTGGACTATTTCCTACTTTGGTTATCAATGTTGGGGAGACCAATAAATAGCTTGTTGTTCAATGCTGCTATCTTATGGTCATATTATTTTCCTTAACCAGCCCCAAATGTCCTCAAATCCACTACCTGGATATTGTTATAGATAGATAGATATTATTTAAAATAGGAAAAAAAATGTTTTTGTTAGGTGCTGTAATGTCAGCTCTGACTCATAAGAAGGAAACCACCTGGCCCAGCACCATCCTTACTATGGTTATGATCCTTCAGTCACTGTGCTGCCACTTTATTAACCTATCTCAGTGGGGTCTTTCTCTTTTTCACTGACCCTCTACTTTCCAAAGTGTGATGTCTTTTTCCAGGACTGGCCCCTTCTGATAACATGTCAATAGTATGCAAGATGCAGTCTCATCATCCTCACTTTTTAGAAGAATTCTGGCTACATATCTTCCAACACATATTTGTTTGTTCTTCTGACGGTCCCTGGTACTTTCAATATTCTTCACCAACACCATAATTCAAATGTATAAACTATTTCAGTCTTTCATATTCTTTGTCAAGCTTTCACATGCATATGAGGCAGTTGAAAACACCATGGCTTGGGTCTTCAATGTGACATTTCTGCTATTTAACACTTGAAAGAAGTCATTTATGGCAAATTTGCCTAAAATGATGTTTAGTTTCTTAACTGCTGCTTCCATAATCATTGATTATGGATCCAAGCAAAATTAAATCCTTTTTGTCAGTGTTTCATGATCTTGTTTATTGGTTTGTTTGTGAGAACTTCTGTCTTCTCTACTTTGCGTTGTAATCCATACCAAAGGCTATATTCCTTGATGTTCATCAGCAAGTACTTCAAGTCCTCATTGTTTTGAGCAAGCAAGGATATGTTATTTGCATATTGCAAGTTGTTAATAAGGCTTCCTGCAATACTGATGCCAAGGTCTTCATGATATAGTCCAGCTTCTTGGATTATTTGCACAGCATAGAGATTGAATAAGTATGGTAAAAGGATACAACCCTAACACATACCTTTGCTGCTTTTAAACCAGACAGTATCCACTTGTCCTGTTCTAAAGACTGCCTCTTGCTCCTGGGCCCAAAGTCAGTGACGTGGCCACGGAGGACTCAAGTGGAGAATGGAGCTGCCGGCTGATGGAAGAGAGGGCATGTGTACAAGAACACCCACACTTGCAGATGGTACCCGT